TGGAGTTTGGCTAACAGTCCTACAGTGCTGCTTTATTATAAAAACGTTTTTTTCCATACAGAAATTCTTGAGCAGACCTGAGTTTTATGTATCATCACTGGCCTCTCGCCCTCTCCCACCACCACATAAGCTACCAAAGACATTGACTGCAGCAGAAGTGAAGGCCTTGTTCCCTGTAAAGCCTGAAATGCAGGGATACTGTCCAGTCACTTACCTAGATGGAAAACAGAGGTATGTCACTAGATTTTTCATTATGTGAATTACATAATATGTGTCCTATATTAATGCATTAGTGAGAAAATATTTTCAAAGTACTTTTTAATGCTGCTCAGGGTTTGGACAGGAAAAGCAATTACAATTCTCTACACTGCACTTGTGGCTTTGGAAATCAAGACAAAATCACCTTTTAAAACTTAGATGGCTACAGGTTCTACAAGAATCTGTGTTGGCCTGGTGTATTTCACGATGAAGATGGACAGATATAGTTTGAATTCTCTCTATCAGAAGCCTTCCAAGGTTAAAAGAAATCTCATAAATCCCTAGTAGATGCAAAACTAGCTATTGTGATTTTTGTAGAGATCCATAAAGCTCTACCATAAAGTGACACAGATTTCCTCAGTGTGCAAGAATTTATCATCAGAGGAGAACCATAACAGCCAATTCTATTTTATCCCTTTTTAATCTCCTGAACAAATATAATAGGCAGTTTAAATGGAGGAGCTCTAAAGAAGCCCTATAGAAGTTCCTTAATAAGCAGATTTTGAGGCAGAGACTCTATCAGCTTTTTAACCTTGTAACTGTCCATCATGTAGTGGAAACTTGGATGATCCAATTGCTATTGTTTTGTAGTTGCTACACTTGCTAAATTACCAGAAGGCTACCAGCAGCTCATGAATTTACTCCACGCAAATTATGTTTTATGTTTTCTGTGAATGAATTATTCTTGCTCCATCTCTTCAGATATGAAGCTTTGGTGCCTGGTGACATGGAGTATGCAGCAAAATACCAAGACAAGGTATATATTTTTGAAAGTGAAGAAAAACTACAGAAGTTTATGAGGTAATACACTAACTGCATTTTAATCTTCAATCATGTCACTGTTTATACATCTTAAAAGTGCTTACTTTATATCTGGTTAGGTTACCAGAGAAGTACTGGAATCTGAAGCTTCCCCATAAACTCCCTCCAAAAAAAGAGCCAATGCTACTAACTACACTTCCTTTGCCTGGATACCTTGAACAGGCCAGTTTTTGCTTTTCTATTTTAAAACATGATTTTGTGATATATAGCATACCCTACTCAGTTTTTGGGTTTTTTTATTTTTAATTTTTAATGCATTTGAGTCTTATATTTATTAATGAGATTATATTAAATTGAAAATCTTTTCATTACAATTAAGAGCAATTTTTTAAACCTTTAAACTAACAGATGTTTGTAGCTTTAATGGAAAAAATACAAGACCATCAGAGGGGGATAATAAGCTGCAGTATTATATTATAGATTTTCTGACTTAGTTGTTTATCAAATCTTGTAAGGGTACATTTTGGTTTGACTTTTAACACCAGCATAGACACAAGCTTACTTGGAAAAATTTAAGAGTACTTTGATATACTTTGACACATGAATAAATAAAAAAAATTATTCATGGTCACAGCCCTCCCTATTTTATGCTAATTTGTTATCTTCTACTATTCACCAACTTCGAATATCTACGTTACAACAGGATAAGACATTGCTCAAGATTTCTTTAATGGTCTTTTAAACCTATTTTCTTTCTTTAGGGAGTAGCAACTTCTCTAATAAAAGCTCTGCATGAAGTTGGCAGCCTTAAGCCAAAGTTTCCATTCCTAAGTGTGAAAGAAACTGCTCTGCTTTTTGTCTCCTTCCATCTAAAAGGTAGTGTATAAAATAGCATGCTATAAAAATAACTAATTGTATAAATGGCATAAGTCCTCTGATACCATATAGATAGCCAATTAGTGTTCATATTTGCATTTTTTTTAATATTTTCTGTTTGGGTTTTTTCAGCCGGAGATGCATGTAATAATCTTTAATAGTTTGCAGTCAGCTTAATTATTGCCAGCATTTTCAATTTCAATGTCCTTGTTTGCAGCTCTGCTATAGCTTTGAGCAGGTTTCTAGCACTGCTGGAGATTTCTGGAGCAAGACTGACATTTCTTTCAACCCACCACTTTTGTCATTTATAAGCCAACCTGTTCACTGAGTGAACTTCACCTGGCATTTGTATTTTACATTTTAATTATTCTTTTAGATAATACCAATCTTAATTATTTTTTCAAAGCTCTTCACATCCTGTGCTTCCTCATGTAGTTTCCAGAGTCCTCCAGAATTTTCTTGAACTGTCACAGATTTTTTTTTTTGCTAGCACAGCTTTGTTAATGAAGACTATTGAACAGGGCAGGCACATGGTAAGCCCCTGCATAAATGTACAATTCCTAAGCCACCAAACTGCTTTTATACTGCAGTTTGCTTCATTCACAAAGGCTGTTTTCATTCTATTGTTAGCATGGCTTTGCAAACATAAGGATGCCCATGCTAGGAATGCTTTGCTCATATATTGCAACATTAAATCATTATTAGTAGTGGATGATGAACCAGAAGGGTTATGCAAGTGCAGAAATATCTTCTTCTCATGCAGTGCCAAATAGATTGACCATAGGAATCCAGGAAAACCAGTTATCTTCTTCTAGCACTGGGTAGGACTGCTTCCAGCTTTAAGATATAGCATCCCCATACACTGGCAAATCACTTGAACATGAGGAAGAACTTCTTTCATGTTCTGGAAATCTGCTGGAACAGATTTCATAGAGAAGTTGTGGAGTCTTCATCAGTGGAAATATTCAAGAGCCATCTGAACACAATCCTGTGCCGTGTGCTCTGGGATAACCCTGCTTAAGCAGGGAGGTTGTCCCAGATGATCCAATGTGGTCCCTTCCAGTCTGACCCATCTTGTGATTTTTGTGATTAGTTGCAAATACAGAATCTTTTATTATTGTGCATCTCTTCAGAGTAGTCACGCCATTCTTGATTAAAAAAATTGTTCGAAGTGCCTTAAGTTGTAGTGCCCTGGAAATTTATTTCATCTTATTTCTTTGAGAAGTTAGACCTTCTCATCTTCAATTAACATCATTCTCTAATCTCACATTTAATAGGGGACAAGAAGCAAGAGTTTAGTTCCTGCTAAGGAACTAAAGCTCCTTCAGCTTCTCTCACAACACTAGATTGCTTTCAGTATCTGAGAAAGTACAGGTGATCAGCCAAAAATGCAGAGGGATTTATTTACTCCTGGAAAGAGAGTAGTAAACCTGTATCACTACAGAGATTGAGTGTCCTTCGAGCTGGACACCTGTAAGGGCTTATCAGTGACAGGTCACCAGTCCGATGTCACCCCATTCCCTATAACCCTTCATCCCTGACTGGTGAGCCAGTTGCTCACCCCATGGCATGATGTGTTTATCCAGCTGTGTGCCTGACATTTTGTCCAGAAGGATGCTGTGAAAGAAAGTATTGAAATCTTTACTGAAATTAAAAAAGATTACATCAACTGGTGTCCCTTGGTCAACTAGGTGGATTATTACTTTGTCATACAAGGAAATCAGGTTTGATAAGCAGGACTTTTCTCTCATGAAGCTATGTTGGTCACAATCCTGCTTATCAAACCTGACTTCCTTGTATGACAAGGTAGCCCACCTTATAGGCAAAGCATTTAGGTCATGGAACACCTGTGCCAAGGACCTGGGCTGTCCCCAGGATGTGCCACTTGAGGCTGTGTGCCACACTACCCAAATCTGTCATTGCCTGCAGTTTCACCAGTATCTCAGGGTCTGAGAAATGAGAAGTTGACAGCAGCTGGGCATGTTTGTTATGTCTTCTTTTAGAAAAGCCTGATCCTTCTGATTATCATGACTATATGGAGTCAGGAACTTTCTGATCTTTTTGGCTTGGCACCAGCAGTCAAGGTGCTTATTTGTACCATGGGTAATGCTAACAGAGGTAGATTTGGTCCCTTTGAAAATGTCTGTAATGTAATTTCACAGAGTTTATAGGAGACACTAACAAGCTGCTTAAATTCTTGCAGCACACAACCCCCGGAGCTCAGCGCCAGTGCGGCAGATGTACAGGAAGAAGCTGTTGCAGTTCGTGGAGCACTGCCAACTCATCCCCTACCTGGGGACTGCCATGATGGGCCCGTATAAGGAGCCAAGAGATCGGCCCCGTGGCTTTGATGACAGACTGCAGACATTTTTTTCCCTGAAAGGCACCCGCCCCACTTTTGTGTGAACCCTGTATTTCCACTGATTAACACATGGAGTGCTGCCGTCAGGCACCAGCATGGCTGCAACATGGCCTGCGAACATCACACATTCTCGAGCCAGTTTTTTAACCACGAAATCTTAGAAATAAAATCTTTTGTCTGAAGTTGAGAGATATCAAGCTACTAGAGAGCGTCCAAAGGAAGGCTATGACAATAGTGAAGGCCCTTGAGGGGAAGCCATATGATGAGCAGCTGAGGTCACTTGGTCTGTTCAGCCTGGAGACTGAGGGGACACCTCACTGCAGTCTGCAGCTCCCTTGCGAGTGGAAGAGCAGGGGTAGACACTGATCTCTTCTCTGTGGTACCCAGTGACAGAGCCTGAGGGAATGGCTGAAGTTGTGCCAGGGGAGGGTTTATTTAAATATTAGAAAAATGTTTTTCACCCAGAGGGTCGTTGGGCACTGGAACAGGTTCCCCATGGAAGTGGTCACAGCACCAAGCCTGACAGAGTTCAAGAAAAGCATGTGGCAACGCTCTGTGGTACACGGTGTGATTCTGGGGGCTGTCCCGGGCAGGGCCAGCAGCTGGAACGGGACGATTAGTACGGCCCGGCTGTGCTGTGACTGCGCGGCCCAAGTCCCGCCCGCCTGCGCTCATTGCGGCAGCGCAGGCGCGGTGCCAGCCCCGGCCCGGAAGTGCGGCGGCGGCGGCGAGCGGTGAGTGCCGGGGCAGGGCGGGCGGCAGCCGGGCCGGGCGCTCCGGGCCGCGGCTCTCGCGGGGCAGCGCCCGCTCCCTGCTCGAGCCCCACGAGGGACGAGCGGCCTTCCCTCGAGGGGCGGCCCGAAGGGCTCACACGGTGCGCGGGGCGCGACCCGCACGGTGCCCTTGGCCGTGTGGAGGCCCAGCCCCGCGCCGTGCACTGCCCCCCGGGAGCTCCTGAGTCCTTCCGCGGCTGGCCCGGAGTGTGGTTCCGACCGCACTGCCGGCAGCGAGGGGCCTTCTGCTGGAGTACAGCCTCGCTCTGTAATGGGGAGCGGGATTTAGGGAAGTGGCGTGGTTTGGATTTTGCAGTCAGGATGCTAATGCTGTCACCTCCTGGTTAAACATCGAAGTCCTTCATGCAATCAGAGCTCACAAAACACCCATTACCTTGTCTGGAGCACGTGTGGACGTTAGGGGATGCCTGCGGGCAGAGTTGGCATCGGCTGTCCAGGAATTCTTGTATTGCACGGTAAGGCAGGTTGGGTCACACCTGCAGCTGTGCTTTAAGGTGCTCCGGCAACAAACATTGGGCTCACATGCTTTGGAAATTAAAGCTCCCAGATAAAACAATTTGACTCCACTGTGAACTATTTGGTAGCTGATTAGGGCTAAAGAATCCCTTTTTCACCATCTCAGTAGCGTTTAGGTATCATGTGTAGGTAGTGTCTGCTGTTTCATGGAGCATTTGTTCAGATCATTGAAACTGTTGCACTAACTAAATACAAATATGTAGATTTATGTGTGTTTAATATGACCCTTGTATTATCTTTGGTTTAGCTGAGCTTTGTAAAAAAGACATTTTGGCCATATCTCTTCTATAATATTTGGTGGCTTCTTTTGAAATGGGTGGATTTTTTTGTTTATTATGAGTTTTTGCAAATTTACTGTTGAAGAAGCCTAGCAAGTCAAATTGACCGTTGATGAGTCCATGGCTTCATTTATTACAGGATTTCCTACCTTATCCCTGACTAAACTGCACTGATCAAACTGCTGTTGACCTTTTTGTTTCCATTGTGGTGTGTTGGTGCTGGCTGGATACCAGTGCCCACCAGAGCCTCCTGTCACTCCCCTCCTCAGGGGAACGGGAACAGAGGATATAATAGAAGCTCATGAGTTGAGATAAAACAGAGAGAGATCACTCACCAGTTTCCAGCACAGGCAGAACAGACTTGACTTGAGGAAATTACTTTATTGTCAATGAGATCACTGTCAGATAATGAGAAATAAACCCAAATCTTTAAACTGCTCACTCCACCTCTCCCTTCTTTCCAGGCTCAGCTTTAGTCCCAGTTTTCTCTGCCTCCTCCCTCCAGCAGTGCAGGGGGATGGAGAATGGGGCTGTAGTCAGTTCGTCTCACACTGTCTTTGATTCTCCTTTGACTCCTCACTCTCTTCACCTGCTCCATTGTGGCATCTCTCCCACAGGAGACAGTCCTTCTTCCATGAACTACTTTAGCCTGAGTCCTTCCCATGGGCTGCAGTTCTTCACAAAATGCTCCAGCTTGGATCCCTTCCACAGGCACACTCCTTCAGGAACAGTTTGCTCCAGCTTGGGTTCTCCATGGGGTCACCAGTCCTGCCAGCAGACCCATTTCAGTGTGATCTCCTCTCTCCAAGAGGCCATGGGTCCTGCCAGGAGCCTGCTCCAGCACAGGCTTCCAGCCTCTTTCAGGCATCAGCCTGCTCTGGTGTGTGGGATCCTGCAGGGGCTGCAGGTGGATCTGTGCTCCACCATGGACCTCCATGGGCTGCAGGGGCACAGCTGCCTCCCCATGGTCTGCACCAGGGGCTGTGGGGGAATCTCTGCTCTGGCAGCTGGAGCACCTCCTGCCCCTCCTTCTCCACTCACCTTGGTGTCTGCAGGGCTGCTGTTCCCACATACTCTCACTCCTCTCTTCAGCTGCAGTTGTGCACTTTTCTTTCCCCCCCTATTAAATCTGTTATCCCAGGGGTGATACCACCATCAGCTGAATGGCTTAGCCTTGGCCAGCAGTGTGTCCATCCTGGAGCCAGCTGGTGTTGGCTCTGTAGGACACTGGGGAAGTTTCTCACAGCTTCTCACAGAAGCCACCCCTGTAACTGCCCTGCTACCAAAGCCTTGCCATGCAAAGCCAGTGCTGTACTGAGGAGCTGTGACCAAGGAATTGTTTCTGTCTGATTGTTTTAGTTTCAGAAGCTAGGGTAGCAATTTTTTTTAGATAATACAAGGTTCACACTACATCAGATATAAAGAAGTTATAGGCAGTAATTCTGATCTAAAAAACTAAAAACTGTAGCCTTTTCATAGGATTTTAAAATACTTTTTTAAGAAATTCCATGTCAGCAATAGTGTTGATTTTTCAAAAGCCCAGAGGATTCAGAATTGTTTCAGAAACTCTTGAACTCTATTACTGGTGTAACAAATTATATTTGGGTCTTATAATGCCAACTGTTAATATAATTATTTGCTAAAGCTATTCTGTTTTTCTAGGCACTTCCTTTAATATTCGTAATTAAAATGGCAAAAACAACTGATCCTTCTGAGAAACTGATCATCCACTCCAAAGCTCACAAAGATACCATCCTAGCTAATTTTGAAGAACAAAGGAAAAAGGATTTTCTTTGTGACATTACTCTGATAGTGGAGAATGTGCAATTCAGAGCACATAAAGCTTTGCTGGCTGCCAGTAGTGAGTACTTCTCAATGATGTTTGTAAATGAGGGTGAAATAGGGCAGTCAGTTTACATGTTGGAGGGAATGGTTGCAGACACCTTTGGAGTTCTGCTAGAATTTATTTACACTGGTTGCCTCTGCGCCAGTGAGAAAAGCGCAGAACAAATCCTGGCCACTGCAGAGCTGCTGAAAGTAACTGACTTGGTATGGGCCTGTACAGACTACCTGGAGAGCCGCAGCCCAGGCAGTGCATTGCCAGCTCCAGCTGAAAGTGTGGCCTCTGTTGTTGCAAGTGACAGGAGAAATGATGATCCACCAAAGCGAAAACGGGGGCGACCAAGGAAAATCAAGGTTGTCCAAGAAGATGAAGAAGAAGAATCAGTAGCAAATTCCGCCGAAGATGGGCAGCTGAGAGAGAACAACTCCATGCAAAATGAGCAAAATTATATGAAGAAAAACACTGAAGTAGAAGAAACAGTTGCCAGTGAACAGGCTTCAGTGAGGAAAGATGGAGAAGAAACTGAACCTGCTTGTGGCTCAGAGGCTGCTGTTGATCTATCAGCTGAGAAAGATGAAAACTACGATCCCAAATCTGAAGGAATACAGAGCACTCAGAGCCGTTACAGCAAACGTAGAATAAGGAGATCAATCAAACTAAAAGATTATAAACTTCTTGGGGATGAGGATGAGAAGGGACTGGCAAAGAGAACTGATGGAAAAAAAAAACGCGTGGGTTCTGAAGCTCGCTGCAAAGACTGTGGCAAAGTATTTAAGTACAATCACTTCTTGGCTATTCACCAGCGAAGCCATACAGGTAGGCCTTCACAGACTGCTGCTTTTGGGTTAGGTTAGGGGGGTGTTGTCAAATGCAAGTGACTCTTGTAGTGTTGGTTGTGGACTACAGCAAGAATATCCAAAATAGCATGTTGGTCCAAATTATGGTGTGTTCTCTGTTGGTTGTTTTATTCTTGTCAACAGATCTCAGAACCTTTATGTCTCACCTAGATTTCAGTGTAATTAACAATTTTATTGTTTAAGCACTGAACTATATGGCAATAGCTAGAGAATTATTTTATTCCTGTGTGAAACTTGCCTCTTTACCACTAATCGAGACTAATTTTTTCAGTAGCTGCAACACTGCAGTGCATCTCACTATCAGCTTAGAATATCTAGTGAGAAATTCTGCATCTATGCCTAAAAATGCCATCATCTTTTTCTTTCAGGGGAGCGCCCTTTTAAATGCAGTGAGTGTGGCAAAGGCTTTTCCCAGAAGCATTCTCTTCAAGTCCATGAGCGGATGCACACCGGGGAGCGGCCGTACACGTGCACCATTTGCAGTAAGGCTCTGACAACAAAGCATTCTCTTCTGGAGCACATGAGCCTACATTCAGGTAAATACTTCAAGGCAAATGTAGCTCTCTGCTGCAAGAATTTGCCTTTCTGAAAGAAAGGTACTTCTGGTCCATCTTTATGTGTGCTGGTGTCATGTTCCACTGAGGGAAACTGCGAGGATTTCTTTAAAAATGGATGGTCAGGAACAAAATAATGTCAAATGAGACAAACTTTGTATCTGATAATCTTCTATTGGTAATGAAAAAACAAACTGAAAAGAAGTTATCCTACTAAAGAGAACTAGAAAGGACAGAACAAGAGGAAGAAAAATGGGAAAGGAATGGGATGAGAGAGAGGGGAAACAGGGAGAAAAAGAGGGCTTTACCACTGGAGGTCGGGGAGTGCCATCCTTGTCCATGAGGTGGGGGGTGTGCACACTGCATGCTGGGCACGGCTCCTTCGGTAACAGGTGGCCAGACACAAGGTGAGGGGTGCTCGGGCAGGAGGTCCAGAGCCCTGGGCCAGAACCCTGGGCACTGTTGTGGCAAGGATCACAGCAGTGGGCTGGCAGGTGGGTGGGTGGGGTTGGACGCTGGGACGAAGCAGGCAGGCTGTTGGTCAGGGACACAGGGAGGCGGGATAGACTGAGGGTGAGCAAGAGCCAGCGAGGGCATGAGAGCCAAAAGGCAGGCTAGGGCCGGGGAAAAAGCATAAAACTCAAGAAGCCCTGACTGAAAAGCAAGTTTCAAAAAGCCCCTTGAATCACCAAGCCGCAAAAGCACAGTCTCAAAAAGGCCCCATGCCAAAAACCCAACTCAAAAAGCAAGTTTGAAAACCCTCGGTGCTTGTGACACAGTTACATTTCATGGCCTGCTCCTCCCAAAGTCCGCCTGCTGGCGGGAGACCACTGGCCCAGTCCAATATCCCAGTGCAGTCCATTGGCAGAGACCTTTTGCCATCTGACTGGAGAGTGTCTCTGGGGTGCAGTGTCTTCAGTGTTCCCCTGCTGACTGCCTGTCCCATGCGAGACATGAACTGGTTGCCAGGAGAAGTCTCCCCAGAGACAAGGCTTTCCTCCGTCTTTTCCTAGGTCCTTCCTGGACGTGGCACATGTACAACCCTTGTCCCATGTGTCTCTGACAACCACTATTGAGGCAAATCAAAACTGAATTGGCTCCTCACAGCTGACTTCTGTGTTTTATTTATTTCCTTATGCTTGCTTTGGACATGGCTTACATTATAATAAGTGATTTTCTCTACAGGGCAGAAGGCTTTTACCTGCGATCAGTGTGGGAAATACTTCAGCCAAAAGAGACAGCTCAAGAGCCACTATCGACTACACACAGGTATAACAAGTTTGGGTTGAGGACCTGGCTTACAGTCCATGTTGATTTGTCTTTCTAAAGATTCACTTAGGCTGAAAGTTCTTCCTCAGTTATAGATTTAGTCTCTGCTACCTTGATGTGTCCTATCTTGGATAGGTATAACAGTGGATAGGGTGAAAAAGACATAATGGTGTATAGTAAATGCAATGTGTAGAAAAGTGTTTAATTGAGAAGGGCTCTTATGATGATTAAATATTAGTTACACTGTATCTGACATACAGCTTGGTTATTTTAGCCCTGCTGCCCTTGCTACATAGAAGCTGGGAGTTGTATAAACAATTGTGTCTGCTGCCTGGTGTGCAAATTGCACTGTAGTTGCCCACTGCTTTGGACTACTAAGGGCATACAAGCTTTAGGAAGTGTTCTTCTCACTTCTAGAACGGGATGGAGATACACACAGAGGAAGTGGTGGAGATAATCAGAATTTAGAAAACTTCAAGAGAAGGTGGTTTTGGGCAGGAACAGGTGTCCAGTCCCCTCTTTTCTTGTGGTAATACTAAATTGAGAAATAGGAGTGTGACAGTTAAGATAGGGAGAAGGCAGTGAATCACCTTTTGTTTTCTCTCTATATTATATCAAAGTGGTTATTTTACAGGAAAGTGCTTTAACAAAGATCACTGAAGAGATACAGGGGATCACTTATGCACTGACACTTTTTTTGTTATTACGACAAGGCCGTTCACTGCCGGAATGTAACCAGTGTCGTCGTAAATTCATGGATGCAGCTCAGCTAAAGAAACATCTAAGAACACACACAGGTAATGTTGTACCTTGGGTTTTGTGGGGTTTGTGGTTTGTTTTTTCTTGAAGTTACATGGACAAAACTATTTTAGGCAAATTACACTTGTCTCTGTGGAATGAACTTCTGCTCTACTTGTACATAATGATGCCTGTGTTGCTAATAAAGAGATTTGACATCAAGAATGCAGGAGCACAAAAAAGCTTGTGTTACAGCAGCACAGAAGCAGTGCCTATTACAGGAAGAGGGCTTTTTTCCCCAGTTTTGTAAAACCTGCTGCAGAAATGCCAGTAGCTGTCCCATCATAGAATCCTGAACTGAGAATTCAGTTTGTTGGGAGAGTTGTGTCGAGTATGTATTGGGCTTGCAGTGAGCTGACAAGCAACAGAAAGTGTGTGTCCTAAATGAGTTGGATACCTCTGTCTGTGAGGATGGGTGCTTATGAAAAGTGCTGTGACCAGGAAAATAATTATTTCCATTTAGCTTTTACTGTGCCGTAATAAACCAGATATTGAGAGGAGATGGGATGGGAGGGATGATTTAATGCAAGTGCGTCAGAGGATGTTTTAAGAGATTTAGAGGGCAGGCTGGTAATGAATCACTGGATAACAGAGATAAAAATGTTGATCTATCCTCTCATAATAACAAGGCATAAACTTCATCAAATACTTCCCTTTGAAGAGTAAGTTCATAAGGTGACATGCAAATAATTTTGTCTTTTAAAGTAACTAGAAACAGTGGCAATTGTTTCCTCACAAAATCAAATTATTCTTAAGTGTGTTGCTTGCAGTTGTAATACATAACTCATTCTCAAGCATACTTTATCTCATTCATTTCCTTGTCTTTTCTAAGTGAAAAAGATTTGAATTTTCTGGGATATGCTGAGGTCGAAACTTGTGCTTCTGGGAGCTTTTAGTTATCCAGAATAGTGCTAGCATGTGATACTTACATAATTTTGTATTGAGGAGAACTCAGTGTTGACACATGCAAGAGTTTTGTATCTGAAGCTCATAGAGCTCTCTAAATGTAGTGGGAAATGAGTTTGGGGTGGGGAATGAGAAGAGGAAGCTTACTAGCAAGGTAAGTTGCAAAAATATATGAGCTAAGCTGATTTTTAGCAGAAACTGCCTTGCAATATATTTTGCTACTAAGAAAAGACAGGCAAGATACCTGTATTAATTATGTAGAAATAATAATTAATCTGTCCCATCTCAAAAGCAAAGTAAAATTCCAAGGCATTTGGGGGACAGGTGTTAACATAGATACAACTATTCTCCTTTGGCTGCAGTTTGGTTACACTGTGTCATAATAATACAGTATACTGGAGAAATTACTTCTGTTTTCATTAGCAAGCTGGGACTGGGTGATCAGAGGTCCCTTCTGACAAATGTTTCTTGTTCTCTCATCCTTTATCCATGCCCTCCAAAGCCACATGAAAGCTGGTAAGCATTGCAGTTCTGTGCTAAATGAGAAGCTTCCTTGGAAACTGGCTGCTGCCCAATCCCTGGGTTTGGTGTGCTTTGATGGTGTGAATTACCACAGTGGTGATCTGGATTCTTGTGTCTGGTGTCTTAAAGAACCTCAGTGCTACAAGGATTTGTTATGGTGTGAATTAGGATTTGCTTTGGTTGGGTAGTATCTGTTTCTTGTGAACCTTATAATTTAATTTGGCCTCCCTGCTTCTGCTCAATTATACATCAAAATTCCAAATGCACTAAAAAAAATCCCAACAAATAAACAAAAAATCCCCGAACAAACTCACATTTTATTTAACTCACGGTAATTTAATATTTTTTCTAACTGGTGTTTCCAGAATATCATAGGCCTAGTGTGATGGAGCCTTATAGAAAGCCAGGCAAGTTGTTAAGATAATGGATTAATTTTCCAGCTTTGGAAGTTTGGGCTTACTCACCTGGATGGTGCTGCATGTGAACATGGCATTAATGCCAGGGTTCAGGGACAGCCTTTTTCAGAGCATTTCTGTTCCATGTGGAACACTCACATCTGTGCCATAGGTACAGCTTTTTGTTGCTTTGGGGGCTTGGATCACCTAATTCTTCATCTTCAAAGGGTAGAAATGCTAGAAATGTCATACCCTCATTTTGAATAGTGAGTTCATTCAGTTTTGGATATCTGCTGAACCATGCCAGAAGCGTGAGGAGCCAACAGTGTCCACTTGATCCTGTGTATGGTAAAATACAAAATGTTTTTAATGAACTGATGAAAAGTGATATTTCAAAAGTGAAGTCACATTTCTTTTTGATAGGTGAGAAGCCCTTCACTTGTGAGATTTGTGGCAAATCATTTACAGCTAAAAGTTCGCTTCAGACTCACATTAGAATTCACAGGTAAAGTATGTCTTACTTTCATTACGTTCTTTTAAAATGTAACTTCTATTCTTATAACAAGAAGTAGTGCTTGTTTCACTATAGAACGGTCAGGACTTGTTTGCATTTTGAATGATTGTTAAAAACGTAACATTTTTGTTTAATCTATGTAAGGAAAAAATTGGTAGTGGAAAGTACTGAAGTCCTAAATGCTCATGTGCCAAGATATTGTTAGTCTTCTTTGGTGTTTCGTGTCTGTTCACTGACAATGTACTTACTGGTATACTATTTTTGTGAAAATTTTGCTGTAGGTTTTGTTTGAGAGCAGAACAGTAGCCATGGTGTATCAAGGTTGTCCTGTTGCCCTGTGAGCTATCCTGTCTCTTTGACAGCATTAGTTGTCTTTTACCCCTGTCAGTGCAATACATTGCATAAGGACATGTTAGATTTTAAATCACTGGAGAGCTGTTGTCTAAGAAAACATTTCCAGTAAAATTTCCTGTCCTTTTAACGCAGGCAGCAGGTTAGGATTTGGAAACTTCTTTTTGGTTTTAAGCCTCCACTGTTAATGAATGTTCTTAAAATGGTCAGTGCTTAGAATTGTGCAAAGTTGTTGCATTCTTGTCAAGATCTTGCAGCATGGAGCTTGTACCTCTGGTTTTATGAGAGGAAGGCAGTTACCTCTGTAACTCTGAGTATATAACAGTTTGTGAAGTCAAATAGAGATAATCAGGAGGTCAAATAGAGGATGTTTTTAACACTGCCCTTTAAGTACTTAAAATTTAGAAAAACAATGTAATCATTTAAGTATTTTATTACAGAATAAGTTTCAGAAAGCAGCATTGTCAAAGTGAATATTTTAACGAGATCACATTCTTTCCTTTTTCAGAGGAGAAAAGCCATATTCTTGTGATATATGTGGAAAATCCTTCTCTGACTCCAGTGCTAAGAGAAGACATTGTATTTTACACACAGGCAAAAAGCCTTTTGCCTGCCCAGAATGTAGTTTGCAGTTTGCTCGTCTGGACAACCTGAAGTCTCACTTGAAAATTCACAGCAAGGAAAAGCAGTTTCAGGAAGCCAGCGCTGCCCCGAGCACCAACGCTCATCCGGAAGAAGTGAGAAACATTCTCCAGCTGCAGCAGTACCAACTTGCCACCTCGGGAGGGCAGGAAATTCAGCTGCTGGTTACAGATGCAGTACACAACATCAACTTCATGCCCAGCCACAATCAAGGCATCAGTATTGTGACTGCAGAAAATGCCCCCGGCATGGCCACAGAGCAGGCTGCGAACCTCGCGCTCCTTGCGCAGCCGCCGCAGCAGCTGCAAAACTTGTTGCTTTCAGCTCAGCAGGAGCAAGCAGAACAAATTCAAAGCATCAATGTGATTGCAAACCAAATAGAGGCTGCCCAACCTGAACAAATGCATGTCATCACTCTTTCCAAGGAAGCGCTAGAACATCTCCATGCTCATCAAGGACAAAATGAACAAATCCACTTGGCGGGATCTTCACATCCAGCCCAGCACGTGCAGCTGGCTCAGGAATCAAGTCAGCAGTCTCACTCTAGCCACAATACGGTTCCTTCCCATCAAGCCAGTGAAGAACAGAATCAAAGTGTACTTGTTTCTGAATCCCAGCAGCAGCCTCTGTCAGTAAATGAGTCATCTCATGAGCATCCTGTCCAAGATCAGGCTTTCTAAAATGCTTGTAAGCAGAGAGCTAGGCCAGAAAGTGCTTCTCATCCAAGCAGAGATTACACATGTCACATATGGGGTTTTTGCAACATAAGCTATCCAAAGATGCATTTCTTGATGATTTTGGATGAGTGACTCAATTTCCTTAATCATATTTGTTTTAGACTACTTTGTTTTTCTGGACTGGTATTTCTTTACCAGACTTAGTCCTCACAAGTATCTCACAAGCAATTAAAGTGGGGTTTTGTGCCTCATACACATCTCTGCCTCCTGAGGAGATATTTAGCCCTTATTTGCATTTCTGAGTGACTCTTCAGAGAGGTTCACCTGGCTGGTAGGAGAACAATGTTTAGGACATCTGCAGATCACAAATTACCAGTTCTCTGTCAAACTTAGCATTATACCTGAGTTACTGTCAAGCTTAAGACAACCAGTACTTTTTGCAAAGCTAACACCATATTTCTTATGTTTAATGAGCTTTCTCTCTGCAGGTTAATGTATAATTCTCTGTGTAATCATTCCCTGAAGTGCATTATGAGTTACTGACTACCAAATTCATTTGGTTTGGGTTGAAACTTGCAGCCTTTAACTAGCCCCAAATCTTCCCTCCTGTTTACTGTGTGCTGTACACATCTTGCTCCTCAGAAACATTTAAGCCATTGCACTTGAATAGTGGCAATGAGATGTGATGGTTACACTGGAGAACTGAAACCCCACCGATTCTGCTCTGTTAGTTCTGCCACTCATTCTCTGTGTGACTGTGGGCAAGGTAGTTGACCTCTGTGCCTTATTTCCATCATCTAGCAAGTGGGGATAGTGTTCACACACTCTGCCAAGCACTTTGAAGAGCTCTTGATGTTGAAAGCACTGTCTGTTGAAGTGCAGAACCCTCTTCCTGACAGGATTCTGTCTAAGCTTAGGAGCCACTGTATATTTAAAGTGTTATTTTTTGTACTTTTGAGAGAAGAACGTAATCTTACTTTAATATATGTTACGACTGGTAATTGCTTATGTGAGAATTCAAACAATGAAAAGCATCACTTCAGAGCGTAACAAATTACATAAATCTTTACATTACACATCACTTAAAGTTGTACAGCTATTTTTGGTGACTAAATTAGATGTGTACAGATTGTTTTCAATGACTGACTGCTAACAAAAAAGATTTGACATCGTAATAAAATACCTTGCCAAAATACATGCTTTCTGTTTTCAGGTTTGACTACTGGTACCAGCTTTGCACTAGTGTGCTAAAATCCAGATAAAATGCCACTGGTGTGTTAAAATCCAGATAAAATGACACTGTTACTTAAAAGAACATACTCAATTGTCACTTCAGCTTTAAAATGTCATACTTGTGATTTACATGGATGTTTTATGTTACAACAAACAAAAAATTCTAAAAAACGTGGTGAATTTAAAAGCAAAATTATTCACATTTTTTATAAAATCCTTTGTTCCAAGTCCAGACTACTTGGCCTGCTCCTGACTGCATGCTGCAGAAGTTTGGCTAAGTATCTCCATGTCATCAAAATACTGGATCACTTTTATATAAATAAATCATGATAAGGGTAGACAGTGGGAATAAATCAATGCAAAAAAAAACCCACCCAAAAATAAAAAACCAAATCCAAAAAGTAACATCCCACAGCAAAGGTGTTTAGGCTTTTCACACTTCCTCTCAGAATGGAGAAATAAAATTTGCATCCATTCTGCCACCAAAGTGCACCAGCATATTCTGCAGTTCTGCCTGAGAAGCCTAGGTGTTCTAAGAGCAGATAAATAAATACAGTAAAGCCTGTTACAACACTTATGACAATCTTGCTGATTAATTGTATAAGCTTATAGTAAACATTCTGGCAGTTTAATCCTAAAACTTCTGCTTTTATCTAAAACATTGTACAGTGCAGCCAGACTACTTTGTGGTCATAAGTTTACAGGAAGCTGCACAGAATTCATTGTCTGCCATGTATCTGCGAATCCTGAAATGCTTAAAAACAAATTACAAGCTAAATTCTGAGGCTATCAGAAAAGGAACTGTTCAATATTTTTCTTCTTTGAACTTTGTTTTGTTCATTATACAGTTATCCTTGCAGGCTTCAGTTCCATGCTGCAGTTAAACACGGGACACTTCCACATACTGATTTCTCAGTGCTTTCCCTGTAACTAAAAAACCTGAAGTTTGGTGTTTGGAACTTTGTTTTGCTTTTCTGCAGATTACCAGTGAAGAAACGAGCTGCTGTGAATAGCAGGGCAATGACTAATCTTGCACCCTGCATTGCTTAAGCTGTCAGCACATATTGTAGCTTGCACTCAAGAAGCTGGCGTGGCTTCTCATATCAACAAATGTTGCTTTTTGGACACCATTTGCTTTCTTTCTAGTGAATGCCTTTCTGTTAAAAGATGAAAATTAATCCTTTTTCTGTGTGTGCATTTTTAAGGCTTCAGCTGAAGTCTAGGATTGCTTTGAATTAGAAAGGAAACCACTTCAGCTTTGTTTTTCAGTCCAGCTGCCACTAATAATGATTTAGGAAAAAAATGCATCCCTTAGAAACTATGTTTCAGAACAGCTCTCTAAATATCTTAACTCCTTAGCCAGTAAACACCTTAATTTCTCTTTTTCTCACATAGACTAATCCTAACAAATCCGTCTCGCTGCTTTCTATGTTAAAATGAGATTAAGGTTTTAGACGTAAATGCAGGGCAGTAAGAGGACTACAGAAAGATCTGGGTTTGTAAGCAGTTAACACCATTGTGTGTTACCTCTGCTCAATTTGTAAGTTATCCAGTGTAGTTGAACTCTAATAGGATCTCACTTTTTTTTTCCCCCCAAATGCAAGTTTATCAGATTTTGGCTTTTTCTGGAGACTTTGGTTGGTTCTCCAGGTGCAATTTGAAACAAATCCCTGAGAGGTAAAGCAAACACCCTGGAGCCTGTATTTTCCTGTTGTGTGTGTAATTCCCCTGCTTGGCTTTCCAGTCCAGCATCTTGGGTTTTGATAAATGAATATCAGAGTATTTATTTCATATGGGCTGTAAAAGCAAATTACCCTGCCAGTAGGAAACGAAAGTGCTACTAGGGATTGTACAGCAATTTTCTCTTGGCATCTAAGAGGGAAAGGAGAGCACTCTGCCTCATCACAAACTCTTTCCAACTGAATGCCTATTCACTGGTTAAAATTAAGCATATTGAGCCTGGCATCGATCTTGCCAGTTGTTGAGGAAAGAGTTTTGCTTGCATTTCTTTGTTTGAAAAACTCATTTCAGTGTTGTAGCTGGTTAGTCATCGTGGTGAAGGTCATGGTTGGTGTTTGCTAATGCCTATCCTGCTGTGCTTGGATGTGGGGTTTTATAGTCTTTTCCTAATTCACATTAACTGTGGAAGCTAGTATGGGATTCATTCCTAATCCCAGACCCTGTGCCTGTGTGAGCACAGCCCCTGGGTACGTTTCCTGGCTCCCTGTGTGAGTGTGGTTATCCCAGAGAAGGAGTCTGAGCGGGGAGTGCCTGGGAGGAGGCCGGTTTGCACAGCAGGCGTGCCCCGGCGGGCAGAGCAGCCAAGGCTCCTTCCTGGGCATGCTTATCTTCACATGGGCAGGAGTCCATCCTTGCAGGCCTTTTTCCAGTCCTTCTGCACTGCAGGTTCTCACTGAGAGCAGAGAAGGAAGAAGTAATGCGTCCTCTCCAGAGCTATGATTTCAGGACCTCTTTTACTTAGTCATTAGAGACTAAATAAAGAGTCTGCTTCTTGCAGAGTTGCAGTCCCAGGAGCTACAACAGTTCTCTATGTTCTGTCCCTTTTCAGATCCTCTGTAAAACATGGTGAACAATAAATGGTTTTCCACAAGAGGGACTACTGATCCTATCTGTCCCAAGCAATTCTTCCAAATGGAAAGACCCATCCAGGCATATTCTCAGCATCTCACTGTAGTATGCTTACTGGTCATTTTTGGCTAATATTTTAATCCTGCCTAATTGAAAGTGTCTTTGGAATAGCAGGAAGCAGACTTTTGCTTTAGTTAGCAAACTTCCTACCTTGTTCTGCAAATTTTTCTGACATGAGGAAGAATTTCCCTGTGTGAGGGACTGGATGTGCTGCAACATACTGCCCAGAGACATTGTGGAGTATCCCTCACTGGAGAGAGAACTGTCTGGACACAATCCTGTGCCCCGTGTTCTGGGATGACCCTGCTTGAGCGGGGAGGTTGGACCAGATGACCACTGTGGCTCCTTCCAACCTGACCCATTGCATGATTCTCTGATTTTACTTGCCCTTCACCAAGATGTCTCTCAGTGACCCCCTAGCAGCTCTGCTTTAGTACCACCATGTAGGAATCTCTCAAATACATGTGTATGTGCTTATATATAATTTTTTAAATTAATTTTGTCTGCTTTCTCTTCTGTTTCTCTTTTTTTTTTACATGCTATTTTGGACTGGAAGGAACTGAAACAGCTGCAGCTGCACCAGGTGGAGAAGTTTGGACCAAGAAAACCCTCTAAGAATCACACAGAAGCAAAACTCTTGGGTCTTGTGACAGGGTATGTATGCATTTTTCAAAGGACTTCAAGTTTCCAAGAGCATTGCTGCACAACCTTTGAAAGGCTTTCAGGATCGTTGTTTAAAGGTGCTGCACAACCTCGTGTGCTTTCCATATTTTCCTTTGTGGTAATTGTTTTCCTCTCTGAACTGAATGCAGCACAGCACATCTGCCACAGCTGGCAAGCTAATTCACATCTAACTATTGCCACCCACAGAACATTTATCCTCATCTGAGTACTACAAACAGGCCTGCAGAACAATAGCATGTTGTCATAAAGAGGTAATAAATAGAGTCTAAAATTAATATTAGTCACCCAGTTCAGAATTTTAATAAATGTCATTTTCATAATTGGTAACCTGCTGAATAGAATTTAATGCACCTGAATCACCAAGTGGTGAGAAAAGAAGTGGAGAAATAAAAAGCAGAGTAGATTGAGACAACAAGTAATTGGTGGTTCTTGGCATGCTCTCTTTGTAGAAGAAACCTAACATAAATTTTCAGAAAAATAGTCCTCTTATGCTTGTTAGGCTTATCATTGCTTTTCTTTTTTATTTTGACTGTCAGGTGACTATTATGTTTCTTGCCCACAATGACAGTAAAAATGTCTAGAAATTATCAGTTAAAAAAAAAAGTAATTTTTTTCAAAGAAAAAGGATTAATAGGAGCCAGTCCTATGTATGTGCAGAATTAAATTTCAATAACAGAATTTCTTGTGTGTAAATTCAAGCACATTGACAAAATGAATACATCAATCTCAGGATTTTTAAAAAATTATATGTAGTGGATTGCTCTGGGTTTAATCCTTAAATGCTGTGCTGCAAAAAGGAGAAAAGAGATCTGGCTCCTGGCCAGTCCAACTTCAGTTGTATTAATCTGTATCAAGGTAAAAATATGGATGTAGGGAAGAATAGATAGCCAAGACAGTGTTTTCTGAAGCTGATTTTATATTTGACTCTGGGTACGCTGTTTCTGCTCTGGGCTTTACATAAGGCTGCTATAGACTTTTTTTGGCTATAGCAAAAGCCATATGGTCTGGCTACCAAAATTAGATTCTGCTTAGCTTACAGCCTACAGAGGCTCCAGCAGCTGTGCTGCCGACCTTTGAGAGGGGGAAGGAAAGGGCTTTCCTTTGCATCACTCAGTCACAGCCTGCAAAACATCCCTGCATTTGCATGTGCTGCTTGCAGTTACCTGCTGTCACACCTCAGCTCACCTGCTGCCACCAGGACTTGGCTGTGAATTAAAACTGCCCTGTCTTACCATTTTAATGTTTCCTTGTCCAAAATGTTTTGTCTGCCTCATTTTTCTGCATTTTTTCAGCAGGAGAACATCATCACATAAAATTATAATACCTTGTGCATGGATCTTTCAGGCAAGGGAATAGCTGTGGTAGCTAAACATTGAGAATCTGATCTTCTTCAGGCTCTAATATTGTGAGGATGGAGCTCTTCAAATTCAGCAATGCTGCAAATCCCAACAAAACTCTTAAAAATGCATTGAGTGTTTCACTGTAGGAAACTACCACTGAGCCAGACCAGAGAGACTTCAGGGCTACCTGGAGGAGGCCCATCTGCAACCTGTGATTTCTTTCTCAGTCTGGGTTTTTTATAGACACTGTAATTTAGCAACATTTAGCTCAGAGGCTTTGTGATTCTCACTCTGTGGTTATGTAAAATTGTATCACTTTATAAAGCCATTGGGATATACAGTTGGGGGGAGAGTGAGAAATCAGTTTGTTTGGATTTTTTTAAAATTTAACATAGGTTTGTTCTGCTTGAAAATCACAACCATCTCATCTGCAGCAGGACTTTGGCATGTGCAAGTTTGGAGATGAAAAGTGACCTGACCTCGCTGTGCTGATGGCAGCCTGAGCTGAACCTGCAGCTGTCCCACAAAGCAGCTTTTGCACATGCTGCACGTGCCAGAAGAGAGCAAAGCTGCCATGGTGGCACAAAGCTTTGCTGTGGGAGCCGCGAGCCCTCTGGAACTGCTCCGTGCACGCGCTGCCGGCGGGAATGATGTCTCAGCAGTGCCCAGCAAATACAGCTGTGGGTAGGAGTTTTTGCGTCAAAAGGAGGCACACACTTTACACAGGGTGTAATTAAGCTGTAAATCTCATTGCCACAGAAATTTGTGGATGCCAGACTTTCACATTTCCCTGAAAAGCAAAGAAATTCAAATGGAAAAGGGCTGCCGGGGGAATTAAACACAGAGATACCAGGAAATCTTTGAGCAGAGGCTCACTGGTGGCTGGTAGTGGAGTGGGGAAACAGTTCTCTCATGTTTGCTTTTACTTACCACTTTTTGCTGGGCAATTACTATTAGCAAGAGTCTCTTCATCCTTTAAGTATTACTGACAGCATCTATCAAGAGCTCTGGAAAGAGCTGGCTTCAGTCCTCTGCTCTGCCACATGCTTCCTGTGTACCCTGGATTTCGTTCCTTCAGGGGAAAACAGAAATTGGAGCATTTTCTAACCTCCCACAGGGTTGAAAACTGTTTACATTAGGCTTGGGAAGTGCATGGAAATGCAGGGTAGGGTGTGGGCTGGTGTCTGGTGTTGCCGTGGAACTGGGCCCTGTTGACAGACTCAAACTCAGGGTGGCCAGACTGCCACAGCCCCACGGTGGATGCCTGTGGCAGTGATGGTGGTGGGGCTGCTCCAGCACCTGGGTTTCCATGTGACCAAGTTTAAGGCAGAGGTGACCCCTTGGGCTTCAGCCCCAGTGCAAGTTTGGAAGCTGCAGGGAGTGGTGGGGGCTTGAAGCAAATTAATAAAAGCTACGTTGTCCATAAAAGCAATCTAATATTAAGTTTGCTACGGTAGAGGACTAGTGATAACTGGACAATGTCTAAACAATGTAGCAAAACCAGACGTTAAAAAAAAAAAGAAAAAAAGAAAAGATCAGTTTTCCTTAGTGCCTCGTTCAGCTGAGCACGAATTTCACTCTTATCAATTCTCCTTTCTTAGACAAGTTAGTGGCCTTAACTTACCATAAAATCACAGCTGCATTTTCATCCTTCTTTCTTCTGACCTCACTCCCTCTGACAGATGCCCTTCTTTGGGGCACTCCTTCCGTGGCTCAGTGCTGCCACTGCCATAGCTCTCCCAGCAGGAGATGCTGGACCTTCTCAGAGCATAGCAATTAAACACACTGCAGGAAATAATTAATAGAGAGATTGTCTTCTGGAATGGAAGCAGGGCTCTGCCCAAAGGTCTGTCAAAATTTCAGCAGTGAAACAGAGATGGAAGCGGTTGTTCCCCCAGGGTGATGGGCAACCCACATCTCTGACCTCAGCTGAGCTGCTCACTGAGAGCCCTGTGACAAATGCCTGTGATAACCATGGTCTCTGATGATTATTTTATCTACCCTGCAGATACCATAACTGGAAAGGGAGATGAAGGAGAGTCAGTTTATGGTCCTACTTTTGAAGGTATGTCTCCCCAGCTATCTGTGCAAATGGTGAATTTCCACAAAAATCAAGTTGTTGATCTGGTCTTATTCACATAACCTGGGAACTGCTTTTCATCTCCCTAAAGCAAAAAGATTTGGTTTTCAGTCAGAATTATAATCTGCTTGTATTAGCACAAGCAGACTGCTTTAGTGAAAACACTTTTTGATCTGGCACCTTGTCTCTGTCCTCTTATGTTCCCTACCTGAGGCTCAGCTCCACCAGCCCCTTGTCCTTGCCTAAATGAGGGCTGATGGTCACCCACTGCCTACTACAAACTTGAAATACTCATCTTTGTGGACAGGACCCTAGAAATGCAGAAGTAGATTAGCTACAGATCTCCAGGCACCCCTACCACTTGTTTAAATGCTTTTAAAGTAACTGAAGTAAGTCAGCTTTAACTCTAGATTTCCTGGACCTCAGGCAGCTTCTCAGGCTTGAGCAAGCATTAGGCATTGCTGCCAGCAGCCTCAACTCTGTGGGTGGAAGGGGAGTTCTGAATCTCATATAAAACCCTGAAAGTCGAGAGATTACAAACATGACCTAAATTTAACAGAAAATGTTCCCTCATACTGGCATAAAGTAATAAAATGTAAATAAAAAAAGAACATTCTGACTTCTAACTTTAAGAAAAACAACCCATATAATTGACATAGGCATTTGGGATTTTCTGTTTAGATTAAATGCTACCCATTAAGACACTTTATGACAGTTAAAGCACTTTTGAAAATTATTTATGTTCCCTTATATAAAAGCTTTCCCACTGGCAATGGTGCAAACCATTTGAGCAGGCTGGGCAGCAGCCAACACTGAGATCAGAAATGCTAAGTGCAGCTGAAAAGTTTCTTTCCCAAGGTGCTGAAGAGTCTGCCTGTGAGGAGAATCTGCTCTCACCTCAAGGTCCCAGGTTGGATGGAACAAAATGTAGTAGCACTGGCAGGCAGGAAAGCTGCTGGAGGTGAAAGCCTGGTGTGTGGGATTTAAGGCACTAAATGCTATGAGCTTCCTGGAGTGGAAAGAAAAAGGCAAAAGTCACTTCTTTGATGCTGGAGCTCCTGGAACAGGAGCAAGCCCAGGCTCCCAGGGCGTACATAGCTCTGAGAACATAACATGAACTGGTATTGGAAAAAACCAGGACTGGCTGTTGAATTGTTTCCAAGGTGGGTGTCACCAAGGACTTAAACTTTTATGAATCCTCTTTTCCAACAATGTTATCCAATGTATTTGTGCTAGAGTCCATCTTGCATCAAGGACTTAAACTTAATCCTCTTTTCCAACAATGTTATCCAATGTATTTGTGCTAGAGCCCATCTTGCACCTTCTGCACCTTCTGTTTGGGTAAAAATTGTCATTTTTAATGACCCATAGATTTACTTGATTTACACATCAGGTAGAAACAAGTTTGCATGTACGCAGGCACCTCTGCGCACAGGAGAGTTGTGGGAGCTCACATGCACTGTTTGACTCCAGCTCCATCATCTTCCTCCAAGCAGAGCTTGTGCTTTCCCTATGCTACTCAGGAAAGAAGCTGCCATGTTGTGTGGGAAGGGGACAATATACCAAAAACTGGTTCAGTAATTTTAAGGTGGATTTCATTGGGAATCAGTCAACCTTGAATGTGTCCCTGCAAGAGTTTTGTTACCCATATTGCACATAGTCCATGTGTTGGTGCATTAAAGGAGGAGACTGCTACTTGCTCTCCCCCTATTTAATTAGAAGTTGCTTTCCACCCTTAAGAAAGGTGTTCCCTTGTGTATGCCTTTCTATTTTAAGGCTTAGATTGCTTTCCCGATACTTCCTGCAAACCAACTTTACCCTGAGGGCAGAGGACAAATAACTTTGATATCTGAAAAGGGTGGGAGATGCCTCTGTCAGCCAATAATGTTCTGGGAGACTCCATGCTTGGCACGTGTCTGGGCACTGCAACCAGCACCTGCTGAATTAATGGGACACAACGTCACTTTACTGTAATGAGATGAAAGGACTGAGGCAATTGCACAGAACTGCTCGTACGGGAGCATCGTGTCAAAGGACAAAACATCCCACTCCAAAATTAGTCTGCTGGAGTAATTTTGCAAGCCACAAGGCAGCAGTCAGAGTAACTGTTCAGTTAAAATGTAACTACTGTTTTTATGAATCATTTTCTGAGAAAGGATCTCAAACAAAGCAAGAATAATAAAAAAAAAAAAAACGGAGAAAAATAAAATCTAAATATTTCTTCACTTTCCTTAAAGCTTGTTGAGAGCTTGATGGGGCTCTTGACTGCTCAGTGTGATCGGGTCAGATGGTGATGGAAGATGACAGGATCAGTGGATCCCCTGCTCCCCATCCCAAAACCAGGCTCCTCTCTACAGAAAAGGAAGTCAAGTCCTTGCCATAATCCCCCAAACCCAAGCACACCTAATGCTTGCTTCTCCCCAGTCAACACTCTTGAGAGTCATTTCTTCTCTCTCTCACAAATCCTTTCCCAGCCAGAGTGGAGGATCCTCTTCACCTCCTCACAGCTCTCACTCCCATTGCCTGCTTCCTCTCCTCACCCTGGAAAAAATCTTCTACTTTGGGAGCAGTCTGGCCTCCTTAACTCAGTATCTGCCCTTCATTTATTCAGCTCTGTCATTTTGTTTAGATAAAGAAGTATCCTGCTCGCCCTCCTGTGCAAGTTGCCAAGGGCTGGGAGCAGCTGTGTATCCCACCCCAGCCAGCCATGTCCCACCCTCACAGCCCTGACTGTGCTCACAGGAGCCTTGTCCTCTGCCACTGGCAGTGGCATGGGGGGAGGCAGAGCTGAGCACCCCCTCTGCCTCCTACCTTCCTTGTCTGGTGCCAGTAATCACAATAGCCATAGGGGATTGCCATGATCAGTATCTTGAGCTACTCTGGTGAGAGTCATTACAGACCAACAACAGAGATCCAGAGTGCTTTTTTATGGGTACATTTTCATTAGCTTCTTTACTGGCTAAAAGATGGATTTAAACCAGGCTTTGCTGGCATAAGACTCAGTGAAAGCTCTGAGGGAAAGGAAAAAGGTGAGTGTGAAAGAAGGAAAGGGAGCTTGAGGGAGCTGGTGAAAGGGACTCGTACAGTGAATAGCAGCAAAGGGAGCACCACAACTGCAGCCCTTCATCCCCCAACTTCTTCCCTGGATGAAAGCTTCTCCATCCATCACAAAGGAAGAGGAATCCTCAGGATGGCCAACAAGAGTCACCACAGGAACAGTTTACAGTTCCACATCACCTTCCAGCCAGCTCCCTACCCAGACAAGAAATATGTTACTCAAGCAAGAAAACCCTATGGCAAAACCAAGAAAGCTGCCAGGGCATCTCCAGGACCACAGGTTACAAACTCGTGGCTGCAGAGCTGTGTCAGCTCAAGGTGGGCCCTGACAGACAGGGAGGTGTTTCACAAAACCTCCAGGCTCTGCTCTGCCCTCACAAGCTGAAAAACATGGTTTTAGCAAATGCAGACTGTAAGTTTGTTCTCAGTAGGTCAACATAAAGGACAAGCCTCTTAAATTTTTTAGATTTTCAGGAATGTAATAAACAAGAATATTGCTTTGAGCAGTTTGCTTGATGGAAGAGAACAAAATATTTAAGTATTAACACAGAGAGAACAATTCATAGTGTAGTTTCCATGTTACCACACCACGCAGAAAGACAGCATCTGTAACAGTAGCAAAATAGCATAACTTTCAAACCTACAGAGAACAAACCAAAAGCTGGATATATTCATAACCAGCAACATTCACTTCAAATTGCTGCCTTGTCACCGGCTCTGTGCATTCTGAAAGGTGTAGTATCCATGACCTTATAGCCAGGCCCTCCTAGATCTGAATGGGAATTTAATCCTGAGGAATCAAAAAGAAGCCACAGTGTACAACAAGGACAGCCAAGTACTTTCCAGGCTCTGCTCTGTTCAGATTTTCTGATGTCCCCACTTGGACAAGGGATGCCTGCAGCATCCTCCTTGCTTGGTACCACTCTGCTGGAAGGGGTGGGGCGGGGTGGGACACCAAAGCTTTATGGAGCTCTGCTGGCATCCATGGCTGTACCGGCACCTGCAGGAGGCACAGCTTGTCCTCCCACAGCGTGGGAGAAGGACAGCCTGAAAATCACAGAGATCACAAAATGTTGGACTGTTTTCAGGGCTCAGATTAGTGCTGCAAAGGAAGGAAATGAAGGATATTTCACAGGGAGTCACTTCTAATACTGTCACTACTCAGTGTCTCCTGACTTCATCTCAAAGGTACTGGCCATTTGTAGCTGGGGCACATGGAACAGCACTTGCTTCTTTAAATAAATGTAGCTGCATAAAGCCATAGTATTTTCACCTCTCCTAAAATGCCAACTGGAGGCTACTTAATCAAAAACTGACAGCACTCATTGTGAAGAAGAACTTTCTAAAGAGCGTAGTGAGAGCAGCCTGTCAATGGGAAACAGG